TAAAACTGAAGAAGAGGCAGTACTTCCTAACACATTTTATGAGACTAATAACATATCCCTGGTATCGAAACCTGGCAAGCATAACACACACAAAAGAAAATTACAGACTGATATCTCTGATGAATACAGATGCAAAAATCCTAAACAAAACAAATCCTAATCAAATACAGCAATACATTAAAAAATAATACATCATGATCAAGCACGGTTCAATCCGGGGACACAAGGATGGTTCAACATATGCAAATTAATCAATGTAATACACCACATTAACAAAACAAAGGATAAAAATCATATGATCTTATCAATAGATGCAAAAAAATCATTTGATTAGATACAACATCCATTTATAATTAAAACACACAATAAATGGGTATTGAAGGGAAGTACCTCAACATATTAAAGGCCATGTATGACAAACCCTCAGCTAGTATCATACTCAATGGGAAAATATGGAAGGCTTTTCCTCTAAAATCAGGAACAAGACAAGGATGCCCACTCTCACCATTCTTTCTCAGCATAGTCCTGGAAGTCCTAGCCAGAGCAGTCAGGCAAGAGAAAAAATAAAAGGCATCCAAATCGGGAATGAAGAAGTAAAAGTGTCACTTTTTGTTGATAACATGATTCTGTACATAGACAACGCTAAAGACTCCACTGAAAAACTATTAGAAACAATAAATAAATACAGTAATGTTGCAGGATTGGTGTACAAAAATCCACTGCTTTTCTGTATGTTTGAACAAAACTTCAGAAAAATGAAAAAAATTTTTCTTTTACAATTATAACAAAAAGAATAAAATACCTAAGAATAAACTTAAAGGATGTGAAGGATGTATTTAATGAAAACTACAAAGAGATTGAAAAAGATACAATGAAATGGAAAGATATTCCGTGTTCAAGGATTGGAAAAATCAGCATAGTTAAAATGCCCATATTACCCAGAGCAATATACAGATTTAATGCAACCTTCATCAAAATCCCAATATCATATTTTAAAGAAGTAGAACAAAAAAATTAACAGATTTGTATGGAATTACAAAAGACCTCAAATAGCCAAAGCAATCCTGAGAAGAAAAGAATGAAGCTGGAGGTATCACACTACCTGACTTCTAATTATACTACAGAGCTGTGATAATAAAAATAACATGGTATTGGCAGAACAGATGCACGGACCAATGGAATAGAATTGAGAGCCCAGAAATAAAAGCAGATGTATATGGGCAAATAATTTTTGACAAAAGAGCCAAAAACACAAAATGGAGAAAAGAAAGCCTCTTTAATAAATGGTACTGGGAAAATTGGAAAGCCACATGCAAAACGATGAAACTAGATTACAGTTTGTCCCCACGTACAAAAACTAATTCAAAATGGATTAAAGACAAAAATATAAGATCTGAAACAATAAATTACATAGAAGAAAACACAGGTATTATGGACCTTGGTTGTAGAGAACATTTTATGAATTTGACCCCAAAGGCAAGGGAAGTAAAGGCAAAAATATATGAATGGGACTATATCAAACTAAAAAGCTTCTGCATTGCAAAAGAAACCAACAACAAAACAAAAAGGCAACCAACTAAATGGGAGATGATATTTGCAAACAACAGCTCTGACAAGGCATTATTATCCAAAATATATAAAGAACTTAACACCAAACAAACAAACAATCCAATTTAAAAATGGGCAGAGCCCTGGCCAGTTTTGCTCAGTGGTTAGAGCACTGGCCCACAAACTAAAGAGTCCTGGGTTCAGTTCCAGCCAAGAGCATGTATTTCAGTTGCGGTTCGTCCCTGGCCCTGGTTGGGGTCATGCGGGTGGCAGCCAGTTAATGTGTCTCACATTGATGTTTCTCTCTCTCTCCCTCTCTCTCTCTCTTCCTCCTTCCCTCCTACTCTGTCTGCAGATAAAATGTAAAAATATCCTTGGGTGAGGCTTTAAAAAAAAAAATTGGCAGAGGACCTAAACAGATACTTCTCCCAAGAAGACATACAAATGGCCAACAGTTATTATATGAAAAGATGCTCAGCTTCACTAGCCATTAGGGAAATGCAAATCAAAACTACAATGAGATACCACCTCATACCTGTTAGAATGGTTGTTATAAACAAGACAAGTAATAACAAGTGTTGAAGGTGTTGTGGAGAAGAAGGAATCATAATTCACTGCTGGTGGGAATATAAACTGGTACAGCAACTATGGAAAACAGTATGGCAGTTCCTCAAAAATTAAGAATAGAGTTACTATATGACCCAGCAATTTCTCTTCTGGCTATCTACTTGAAAACATTTGCAAAGATATATGCACTCCATTTCAACAGTGGCCAAGACATGAAGACAACCAAAGCATTCTTTGATAGAGGATTGGATAAAGAAGATGTGGTACATATATGCTATGTAATACTACTCAGCCATAAGAAGAGATAAAATGCTACCATTTGTGACAACATGGATGGATCTTGAGAATATTATGCTGAGTGAAGTCAGTCAGTCAGGAAAAGCTAAGTACTATGTGATTTCACTCATATGCAGGATATGAAACTGAAACTCATAGACAGAGAATAGTATGGTAGTTTCCAGAGGGAAGGGAGTAGTAAAAGGCAAAGGGGCCAAATACATGGTGATGGGAGATGATTTGACTTTGTTTGAGTGGTAGGTATACAACGCAATATACAGATAATGTATCATAGAAATGTATACTTGAAAGCTATATGATCTTATTAACTAATGTCACCCCAATAAATTTAATTTTTAAAAAAAAGAAGCCTAATAGGTTGAGCAAAACAAAGGCTTTCTATCCAGCCTTTACAATTAAATACTTACTTATTAAACTAATATTTACAGGCCTGTTCTGTACCAGGCACTGTGCTAGATGTTGGGAATATAGTAGTAACAACTTGCAGTCACTGCTTTTATTTTGAAATATTTTTCTGAGTATGTGGGATATTCGAGAAAGATATTCAGAACACCCTGATATTTTTCCAACACCCAGTAAAAAAGACAAAATAATAGAAAGCTTTGTGATTATTGAATATAGGGAAATATATTAGTTCATTTTAAAGTGAATATCAGGTAAATTCAATAAAAATTTTTTAAAAAGCATTGAGAAGTATAGTGAGTTAAAAATTTGAAAAAGACTATCAGTTTTCAACCTTTAATAACAGAATGTTTCTGCCTCATTTGAGCATAACTCTAGAGTAATAGAGTTATGAGTGTTTGGGCTTTGGGGCATAATTTGTTTTGGGTTTTTTTTTTTACTAGTACTGTATTCTAAGTAGAAAAGGTTGTTAACGTAGGTATCCCTTTTTTGTTTATTTTCCTCTACAAAGAGGAAAAGTTGCTATCAGAACAACCTGTGAAGTGATCATTGAAGATGTATGTTGATTACTTTAAAGTATAGCCTATATGCCCAGCCGGATTGAGCGACTTCCCGTGGACCAAGAAGTCCTGGTTCCATTGCTGGTCAGGGCACATGCCTGGGTTGCAGGCTCAATCCCCAGTAGGGGGTGTGCAGAAGGCAGACAATCGATGTTTCTCACATCAATGTTTATATCTCTCTCCCTTCCTCTCTCTCTCTCAAAATAAAGTGTAGGCTATGTATTAGAAATAGAGAAGCTGCGAAATGGATCACGATTATTGCATTTTAAGTGTGTTTTTTATTTCTCAAAATTGCCTAGCTCACTGTTTTCCCAGAGAATTAAAAATGCCTTACTCCTATGTATAAATTAACTAACTTTTCAAAACAAATATGTCAGTGAGGGAAAGACAGCATTACTATTTTTCCATGTTAACAGTTGGGTCCGCAAAAATTTATACCTTTTGAGAATGTTTGAAGCCTTCCTTTGAGCATAAATAGGAAAGCCTCCATCCAGTCTTAGCAGATATGAATGTAGTTCATTATGTGAAATCGAACATCTCAGAAAATTTCCAATGTAATATTGTTGTTCTAGAATATGATGCTTTTTTTGGTACAACTTTGTGCCTTTATTTTTTAGTATTATAATGACATAGCAGATAATGCAACCATAAAACATGACCACATCTTTGTTTTAGAAGACTAATTTAAGTGAATGTGAATGGCTTGCACCATTTGTTTTATTTGATATGTATTTTTAAAGGTTATTCATGTGTGGTTTTAAAAGTCAAAGGGGTTAGAAAGATTTAGAAATCTGTTGACTTACTCTGATGTAAGTGAACTAAATATACTCATTTAAATCTCTTGTCCCCTAAAGTTGTCATAATTTTTGTTGCATTGTTAACCATTTGATCTTCATGACTTCTTAAATAATATATTTAAACCTCTATTTCTTATTCTATCAACCAAAACAATCTCCAAGTTCCTCACTTTGTAAAATGAGGATATTGGAACCCACATTCTTCCTTGGAAAAAAACTGAAGTGTATGACTTAAGTTAAAACATGTAGTTACATAAACAAAAGTATTCACTAAGTTCAGTGTCTGAAAACTTATGCTGAACTATATAGGAGAATATCTTGGTATAGATACGAAGCAAATCAAAATGCAGCATCATTCATTTGCTGACAGTCTTTAAGTGGCTCAGAAACTGGTGTTGAAACTATTGAAAAGGAAATCTAAAGGACAGCACACCACTTGGCTCTGCTGAATCATGGGAGTGTAAGTACTATTTACTAGTGTTCACTTTCTAGAATCAGTTGCTATCCAGAGGACAGAAAATTTATGGGTCTTGAGTAGAGAACCTATTTATTTACTCTTATTCCTTGCCTAACCCCACCCCCTGTTTAAATCACAGCCCATAGTATGCATTTTTGCAACTAAAAACAAATATATACATGTAGATATATATACACTCTACTTTCTATTCAAATTTCTTTATAAATGGTAGTTACAACCCAATGAATTGATTTCATGACCAGACCATTCAGCTAAAGCTAGAGGTGTGAGCTATAAGATTATTGTACTTTTTCAACCAGTGAAAAAGTAAAATGAAAAATACGTTGTTGTACTTTTTTTCTCTTTCCACAGGACATTGGCTCTCTGGATTATCAGGAGTTTGTAGTTGACATTGAGTCCAAGCTGAGGATGGAAGGTGTAGAACTCAAGGAAGAGTGGCAAGATGAAGATTTTCCAATGTGAGCAATGCTTTTAAATGAAAACAAATTTAAGATAAAACTTCAAAATTTCTTTATTGTGATGTCACATATTAAATGAATATTGGACTTAATTTTCTGCTTTTATTTTAAGGAAAAAAAACTTATCAGATAAGTAAGTAAGGATTTTCTAAATCATCTGGCCAGCTACCTTGATAGATTTGCATTTGTATTTACAATTGTATTGGCACCAGTTGGGTTGACAGAAAAAGAGCAAAGACAAATCTTATTTTTATTTCCAATTTTATTGAGAAATAATTGACACATCACTCTAAGACATGCAGCATGATGGTTTGCAGGCCTTATATGAAAATGATGTTTCCATGCCATCATGGTCAGAAAACCATCCAGTGCACACAGTAAGGTTCCTTAGCAGTTGCAAGGGACTGGTGGGAATACTGAATGCTAATAGTAATATGGAAATGCTAATGCTCAAAAGAATTGTAGCTGTCATTACTATATTCTCATTGGGAGTAACAATTTAGTTTCATCATACATTGTATCATACATCATATTAAATTCATGCATTTGAATTTTATTTGGTGTTTATTATTTTTATTTGTTTTATAGTTGTATTTAAGGGCAGTTACATGAGGAATTTATATCTTACTTTTCTGTCTTACTTATATAACTAAGTAAGTAAACTCTGACAGTCTGAAAATATTTTCTTTAAAAGTGGTTTGTAAAATGAGCTTTCTACATAATTGTTTTTATAAGCTATTTTTATTAGAGCTTTGAACTTAAAAAAAATTTTTTTTAATTTCTTGGTTAAAAACTATGTCTTCTAGACCTTTACCAGAAGATGATAGTATTGAAGCAGATATATTAACTGTAACTGGACCAGAGAGCCAGCCTGGTAAGAACATGACACTTTTCAGTTTCAGAAAAATGACAGACTTTGTCCTTATTATTATTATTATTTTTTTAATCCTTACCTGAGGGTATTTTTCCATTGATTTTTTTTTTTCCAGATAGAGTGAGAGGGAGGGGGAGAGAGAAACATTGATGTGAGAGAAACACATTGATTTGTTGCCTCCTCACGACCCTGACCAGGGCCAGGGATTGAACCCATAACTAAGGTATGTGCCCTTGACCAGGAATTGAACCCAAGACTCTTTGGTCCTCAGGCTGACTTTGTGCTATTTTTTAACACATTTCTTTGTAAAGGAAAAAACTATACTCAGTGTTTGTTTCATCATAGGGAGCCAAAGGATAAGTTGAATGTTGAGGAAAGAATTTTTGGAATACTTTGGAGGTTTTTGGAAATGTCTACACTAAAGGGATGAGAGGAGATCATTTTTAGTAATAAGAGGTGACTTCATGAGATCTGCCTCTGTTTTTTAAAAATATTTTTTTATTGATTTTTAGAGAGAGAGGAAGGGAGAAGGAGAAAGAGAAACATTAATGTGAGTGAGAACCATCGATTGGCTGCCTCCTACATGCCCCCTACTGCGGATCGAGCCCACAACCCAGGCATGTGCCCTGACTGGGAATCAAACCCATGCCCTCTTGATGCATGGGTTGATGCTCAACCACTGAGCCACACTGGCCGGGCAAAAGATCTACCTCTGAAAAGACATATCCTTGCTGGGATACATCATCTTGCCATGATATAGAAGCAACAGTGATCAAAATCCAAAGTTGTAAATTAGTGCTTTGGGATTGTTTAATTAATGTTATTTTTCCTAAGGATGAAGCAGTGGGCGTTTAAACATTTCTTCTGATACATCTTTCATTTGGTTTACCCATTCCAGGCTCACTAGAAGTTAATGGAAATAAAGTAAGAAAGAAACTCATGGCTCCAGACATTAGCCTGACCCTGGATCCTAGTGATGGTTCTGTGTTGTCAGATGATTTGGATGAAAGTGGGGAGATTGACTTAGATGGCTTAGATACACCATCAGAGAACAGTAATGAGTTTGAGTGGGAAGGTAAATGTTTCATTGTTTTTATCTGACTTTTATTAATGAATGTTTGTCTTTATATACATACATGTTTTTGTAATGGCATTCTCATTATGGGAAAACTTAAAACTTGATCATGAAACCAATTAAATGAATGATTAAGTAAGGGATATTGTTGAAATATAATATTCTTTATAGTTCATATATTTTTTTTTTACTAAGATATGAAATTCTTCTAATACTGAATATTCTCATGGCTTTCAAACTATTTATAGTAGATTACACAGGTGGCTTTATTTTTTTTTCTCTCTTTAATTACCCGGTGCTATAAAGTTGTATTTTTCATGGTCACTCCCAAAATATTACTGATAATTATACCATATTCTTATGTTCAATTGATCAGCTAAAAAAAGCTTTGAGGAGACATAATTTAGGAGATGTGCTAAAAGTAGTAGGGTTTGCAGAGAGGGAGTTCTAAAGGAGTTTCTTGAGGGTGACTTTTTTTAAACAGGTTTGCTAATAGTGCTGTACTTTTAAAATAACCAGCTTGAATTGATGTATGGTCTAGCCCCAGCTTTATATTCCTCATCATTTGTTATTTGGAATCCAAAGGAATGTGCATGTGTTTTGCTTCTCATGCTTTCTATAATTATATAGTTGTTGTCTACAGTGTCCTTGTATTGTTAATAATTTATATGCATATGTATTACATCTTTAAAATGATTTTTACTTCAAAGCAGTGTTTAGCACTAAGTATATTATCTGCAGTGAAGGCTAAGATCCTTGATGTGCTATACTTTTTGTTCCTTTTTTCTTCCCTGTATACTGGTTCAATAAGCAGTCCAGTAAAAGCAATATTTTATAAAGATACTGAAATAGTTTTCTGCCTATGTGTTTTGTCTCTTCTTTCTTTAATGCTGCTCTAGTCATTTCCTGGAAGGATATTTTCCGTTAACTGCTTTATCTTGGAAACAAACAACTAACATGCAGTAGGTTTCCCCTCCCCCCCATCTTTTGGTAAGGACTGTGATACTAAAATTTTGAAAATCATTACATCATTAAAAATCAGCTAAAATGCAATCTTGAAATATAAATTATACCTAATCATTGGTGCTTATGCTTTGGTTAATGTCAATTTAAAATATATTTTTGCATGTATACTTCAGAATATTATCAATAAATTTCTGCTTAAAAAACTGATTAAATGAGAAATAATCATGACTAGTTAACCACTTACTACTGGTATCATAATGTTTGGGGAATGATTTTTGTGCTCAACAACAGCAAAAAACCATTTGGCTCCCAGGTAATTAAGTAACCTGTAGTCTTGACAACTGTCAAAGAGAATCTTGTTATAAACAGACTCTGGAAAGGCATTGTAGGGCCAGTGTACTACGATTTTGATGGCAGTATGCATCATCTTTTCTGAACATATGGATATACCTTGTACTTTCTGAATTAAGCCAAAGAAAAGAAGGTGAAGAACCATTATTTCCAAAAGCATAAAATGACTTTATATCAAGAGCAAGCCTTTCCTTCTATTGTGGAAAAAATATTTAAAATTTCACAGAAAGTATAATGAAAAATTCTCCAAACATTCTAATTAAATAGCAAAGTGGTTAACATGTAATTTTATTTTGTGGTGTAAATAACAGTTTGGGATTCAAAAACCTTTTATTTTGACAGATGATCTTCCAAAACCCAAAACTACTGAAGTAATTAGGAAAGGCTCAATTACCGAATACACAGCAGCAGAGGAAAAAGAAGATGGACGACGCTGGCGTATGTTCAGAATTGGAGAGCAGGACCACAGGGTTGATATGAAGGCCATTGAACCCTATAAAAAAGTTATCAGTCATGGAGGTAAGAGTTATCAAAGATTGTTCAGATTTTTTAATGCAATATCAGAAACCTAATGCTTAAAGAAACTCTCCCTTGAGATGTTACACAATTTTAAAATAATAATAAACATTTATCATGTCATTTTAGTAATATAACAGGTTTGAAGTAAAAATATCTAAACCAACATTTAAAAAATCATTAATACATGCACATAGTAAGTTCAAAAGGTCTAAGAGTATGCATTGAGAACTTTCCCTCCCACCCTATCCCTTGACACCCCCAAAACTGAGACTTTCTCCCCTTTTTATCCATTTATAATTTATATGCAGTGAAATATTCTAATCCATTTTTTGCAGCATTTGCAAATTTCTCTTTTTTTTTCCAGCTTGATTTAGATATAATTGACGTGTAACATTGTATTATAAGTTTAAGGTGTACAGCATGTTGATATGATACACTTGTATACTGTAGAGTGATTACCATCATAGCCTTAGCTAGCACCTGCATCAGATCACATCATTATCATTTCTTTTTTATGGTAAGAACATTTAAAATCTACTTTCTTAGCAACTTTCAAATACATAATACAGAATTATTAACTGTTGTCGCCATGCTGTACATTACGTTCTCAGAGCTTATTCATCTTCTGATTGGAAGTTTGTACCCTTTGACACATCTCCCTTTTTCCCCGAGCCCCTCAGAACCACCATTCTAGTCTCTGTTTCCGTTTCTGTGAGTTCAGCTTTTTTAGATTCCACATATAAGTGATATCATATTTGTCTTTATTCTGTCTGACTTATTTTATTTCACTTATAAATGTTCTGATCTTCAGTGTACAGTTTAATGAGTTTTGACAAATACCCATATAACCATATATACCCATATAGCCAACACGCTTAGGCATATAGAACATTTTCATTGCCTCAGAAAATTCTCTAATACTCCCTCCCAAGGATTACCTCTCCAGTAACCACTATTCTAGCATCTACCCCCATAATTAGTTGTGCCTGTTCTAGAATTTCATATAATTGGAGTCATGTGATGTACACTCTTTGGTCTACTTTTGCTCAGCATAATGTTTTCAAGATTCATTAATGTAGTTGCAAGCATCCATAGTTTATTTCTTTATACTGCTGAGTGGCTTTCCATTGCATGGATAAACCAGTTTGCGTGTCCATTCTTCTTTTGATGGACACGTGAGTTGTTTCCAGTTTGAGCTATTATGACTAAAACTGCCATGAATATTCTTGTGTAGTCTTTTGTGGATATAAGTAAAACCTGGCTTTTTAAACCATGACTCCTAATTTACCTTAAAACCCTGAACAAATTATTCATCTTTACTACAAAGTAGAAAATAAGTTCATTCCACATTTTTGTGGAGTACCTACCTACTTGGCATATTTGACATAGACAAAAATATGTCTTTGTCCCTTCCCTTAAGAAATTTACAAGTCAAATAGGTAAAACTATGAAGTACAATTACAACTTCTGTCAGTCTGTGCTGTATATAGAAGTTTACCTCGGCATTGTGTAAATAGTGCCAGAATATTAGTGGTGGCCAAAATTCAACTCACTCTGTAGAGTATGTCATGTTACCTGAACTACTCCTAATGCAGGCAAGGGACAACATAGGTCAAGCTGATTGTTTTTTTTTCATGTAGAATTATTTCCACTTAATTTACTCTGTCAAATTCATCCCTCTGCTTATTTCTATAATCTTCATTCATCTGAGAGCAGATCACTTGAATATTTGCAATTACAATATTCTGCCTAATTTAATCTTATTCAGGTGAAAAAAAAAACACAGGATAATCTGGACCAAGAAGTCCACAGGCTCATTAATTCAGCTAGTTCATAAAAAGTAGGTTGTGAGATCTAGCTCATGTTTACACACAATATTTCTCAGAAATAATACTTTATTTTTCTTACAGGACAATAATTATGGCCATGGTATCCTACTGAACTTATTATAAATATGTTGTACAACTATGGGATTAAGAAAGATAGTTAAGATTCTAATGCATTTGAAATGTTCAAACCTTTTTAGTGCATGTTTGTAAACAATAGAAATAAAAGTTAAAGCAAAAATATTTGTTGTTGGATACAGCTTAATATCTAGAGATTACAATTAAAATATATACATTTTAGTACTGTTTTACATAGAATTATGTCAGAGATGTGATCTTTTTCTTAGGTATTAATACCCTAAAGTCTACAAAATGCTAGGCATTGTTGAATGTAACTCTTTAAATGCAGCCACTTTAACCTTAGTTGCATAAGAATGTTTTATTGCAGATATTGTTGTGTCATGTCTGCTTGGATTATAGCACTGTACTTGTCTACTTGTGAAAATAAGTCTGGCTTTCTGATTATGCTTGTTTAAGTGGGTTTCTGATTTTTATGCCCACCCTTTCCTCTTCAAATTTTATTGCTGTCTTTTTGACAAGAAGGAATTTAAAAATCTAGAAAAAAAAACACAAAAACTTTTTGGTTTAGCAATTTGTGGAAGGTAAACTACTCTACTCTTAACCATAAATATAGTCTCTGAAAAATCTTCAGTGTAAAATCATGCTGGTGATTTATCTTTGGTTTCTTTTCAGGATATTATGGGGATGGATTAAATGCCATTGTTGTGTTTGCTGTCTGTTTTATGCCTGAAAGTGGTCAACCTAACTATAGATACCTGATGGACAATCTCTTTAAGTATGTATATCGTCACAAAAATGTTTGGACAGAAGTCTTGAGTTAATTAGATGTTCAATTTAGGGAAGTAAAGTTTAGAGGGGTAAAAAATATAAAATATAAATATCCCAGATTCAAATATCACTGGAAGGGATATTTCAGATTATCTGTTGCAACTTCTTTATTTTACATTTGAGGACACATTAAGTATAAAGAAGGGACTTTTTTTTACCTTAAAATTATATGACTAAATTACATCTGTCCTCAAAAAGCCAAATATAACTAAGCTGACCCAATTCTATTGTATCTCCACAGTCACTGTACTTCTCAAATTAGTGCAGTTTTTAAAAACTTAATTGTGGAAAATTTCAAACTTATACAAAGGTAGAGAGCAGTATATTGAATCTTTCTGTACCAATCACCCAATTCCACAATTATCAATTTATACTTCATTCTCATAATTTATACTTCCCCCAATGTATAATTTTGAAGCAAATACCAGACATCATGTTGTTTCATCTGTAAACATTTTAAAAGGTATGTCTAAAAGATAATCAGCCCTGTCCAGTTTGGCTCAGCAGTTAAGAGTGTCAGCCCACAAACTGAAGGGGCTCACGTTAGACTCTGGGCAAGCACACACCTGGGTTGCAGGTTTGATCCCTGGCCCAAGTTGGGGTCCTGTAGGAAGCAACCAATCAATGTGTCTCTCTCTCACACATCGATGTTTCTCTCTCTCTTTCTGTCTTTCTCCACCTCCACTCCTCCCTCCTTTCCACTCTCTGAAAATTAATGGAAAAATATCCTCGGGTGAGTTAATAAATAAAATAAAAGATAAATCAATGTTACCTCAGTAGTTAATTTTATAAAACAAATAAATAAAAGATAAGAACTCTTTTAAAAATAGTCATTATACCAACTACTACTTTAATTGTTTTTGTTATCCTCGAAGGGGAGGGAAGGAAACTGTATAATTTGGATAACCTAGTTTGGTTCTGCAAAACTATTATTTAAGGCTTTAATTTGTTTTTACAGGTATGTTATTGGCACTTTGGAGCTGTTAGTAGCAGAAAACTACATGATAGTTTATTTAAATGGTGCAACAACTCGAAGAAAAATGCCCAGTCTGGGATGGCTCAGGAAATGCTATCAGCAAATTGATAGAAGGTACTATAAATACAAGTTGAGAGCTAGTCTGAATAATTTTTATAATGATCTCATTAGATTATTTTCTATTGCCACTTAAAGGCACCATGTGTACACTTCCTAAATTACATTTATTAATTTCACAGAAAGTTTCTGTTTTCTCAAGACAGTATTTAGAATGTTAAGAAGGAAATTAGTTTTGATCTGTTTTTTTTTATGCTCACCCGAGGACATTTCTCCATTTTTTTGTTGTTGTTGTTGTTCAGATAGAGTGGGAGGGAGGGAGAGAAAGAGAGAGAGAGAAACATCAACGTGAAAAGGACATATCAAGTGGCTGCCTCCCGCATGGCCCAATTAGGGCCGGGGACAAACCACAACCGAGGTATGTGCCCTTGACCGCAATCAAACATGTGACTCATTGGTCCACAGGGCCCATAAAGGTTATTCTTTATAAAACAGATCAAAACTGCCCTGGCCAGTTTAGCTCAGTGGTTAGAGGATTGGCCTGCAGACCAATGAGCCACCAGTTCGATTCCAGTCAAGGGCACGTACCTTGGTTATGGTTCATCCCCGGCCCTGGTCGGGTTGTGTGAGAGGCAACCAGTCAATGTGTCTCTCTCACGTCAATGTTTCTTTCTTTCTCTCTTCCCCGTCTCTCCCTCCCTTCCTCCCTCCCTCCTCTCCCATTCTATTTGAAGATAAATAGAAAACAATATCCTCAAGTGAGAATTAAAAAAAAAAAAGAATAACTTTAATTCCTTAAAATAGACTTACATAATAACCCTTTATTTCTCCTTAATTTATACTACATTGAACATTTTTCAATAATTTACATTTTGGAAAAGGATGGAGAACTTAGTACGTTTTTTATTTTATTACCTTCTGAGTTTTGCCTAATTTATATTGTGAGCATATTTTATGTTAAGGTGCTTATTTAGCTGTAATCTTTCTTTGGAATGAGTTCCAGAAATATAGTCTATTGGAAGTTAGTCATCCATGCTAATAGAAGGAACTTCTTTCCTCTGATTGGTTTGATTTGACCATAGCTAATTTGAAATAGTTTAATCAACTTAGACCCATTAATAGGTTTATCTTCATACCTAACCATTACTTGGTTCTTGTGTTTTTTTTGTTTTGTTTTGTTTTTGTTGTTGTTCAGGTAGAGTGGGAGGGAGAGAGAGGAACAGAGAGAGAGAGAAACATCGATGTGAAAGGAACATATCGAGTGGCTGCCACCCGCACAACCGACCAGGGCCAGGGACAAACTGCAACCGAGGTACGCGCCCTTAGCGGGAACCGAACCCGGGTCTCTCAGGACCGCAGGCCGACGCTCTAACCGCTGAATCAAACTGGCCAGGGCTCTTGTGGTTTTTTAAAAAGATCCTTAATGATCATTTTACTTAAGTGTGAAATATGTGTGATAAAAGTTATTTGGTCATTTTAAGTTGTCTAGAATAATGCCTTTAATTTTTAATAAAAATTTTAAGCTTTGTAAGAAAGCATGAGATCTAATTTATGCTGCCTGTTACTGTGGTGATCTCTACTCCCAACTTTCTGCTTGCACAGTGCCTTTCATGGTGTTGAAATTAGTACCAGTCTCCCCCAGTCCTGGAAAATGTAAACAGTTTACTTCTGTACTCAGTATTAGCCTCTACCCTTGATTGACAATGTCCTAAAGACAAGTGAATGCATGCTAGGACACATTTAACAATAGACTATACATAAATTTAGCCAAATGGTCTGGCCAGTGTGGCTCAGTGGTTGAGCATCAACCCATGCACCAATAATAGGTCACCGGTTCAATTTCCGGTCAGGACACATGCCCAGGTTGTGGGCCCAATCCCCAGTGGGGGGCATGCAGGAGGCAGCCAATCGATGTATCTCTCTCTCCCTCTCACTTCCTCTCTCTCTAAAACCAATAAAGGAAAAAAAATTTTTTTTAATAAATAAATTTAGCCAAATGAAGTAAAGTTTATTTTATAGCAGTAGGAGGAACCATCAGAATTCAAGAGTTCATTTTCTTGTCTTTGAAGTAATATCACGCTAAATAAGAACTCTTGGGGCAGGGATTTTCAATTTTTTGTATAAACTTCCATATCCTAATTGATTTCTTCTAGCATTAGAATTTGTAGAGTTTTTTAAATGTTTCTTTCTTTTTTAACTCCAGATTACGGAAAAACCTAAAATCTCTAATCATAGTACATCCCTCTTGGTTTATCAGAACACTTCTGGCTGTTACAAGACCGTTTATTAGGTAATTTTCTGAATGTTACTGCCTTTTTAAGAAAGCAGAAACACAAACTTCTTATATGAATTTCTTGTCAGTTCTGTTGGTCAGACATGTTGAGGTAATTATTTTTATTTTCTTCCATAGCTCAAAATTCAGCCAAAAAATTAGATACGTCTTTAATTTGGCAGAACTAGCGGAACTTGTCCCCATGGAGTATGTTGGCATACCAGAATGCATAAAACAGTATGTTTCATTTTATTTCTTTAATTGTGTTGGATCTTTATATTTTGTTGTGCAAGAGGTAAATATTTTTAATACTCATTTTTGTTCACTTCATATATTATAAATATTTTGTAACTTCTCTTGTTTTTGTAACAAAATAAAAGATGAAGAAGCCATTTTCCAACACCTTGCCCATAAGTCACCATTTTCTTCAGTTAGTCAGTTGAAGAAATAAGAATTATTTCTGGTTGTGATTCATTTATATTTGTAAAGACTGGTTACAGTCTGAGAGATGATTTTCTGATGGGTCAATACTAAACAACATTCTCCAAATTTGGACATGCTCCTCTCCTGATTTGAGTAAAAGCTCATCATGACATTGAATAATATTACTAGAGTAATAAAATACTATTTAGATCAGCATAGCCTTTAATACTTTCCATGACTGAAATTTACCGTGTTTACCAAATTTACTTCTAACTTTTAAAAGATCTTGGTAGAGGCTTTTAATATAAATACTCGAGTATCACGGTGATATACTGTGAAAAAGTTCCATTGTTCTATTAATCTGAGGGTTTAATATGTTTAATGTGTCAAAGCCACATTTCTTAAGTTAGTTTTGATTTTTTTTTTTTTGTATTATTATATTAAACATTTTTGGTTTTGCCTGCAAACTTAAATGATTTTACTTTTAGTGTCTTTTTTGAGTTTTTGTTTATCTTTATGACATGTATTTACTGAAATAACTCTTCCTTACCAAGGTATGAAGAAGAAAAGTTAAAAAAGAAACAAAAAAGGTATATGCACACCTTGACTGGGTTGCATCTAGACTAGTCTATTTGCATTGCACAGACTAACTCTTCTTTATTGGTTGGTTAGCTTTTAGACAAAGATAATAGCATTTGTAAATATAAATAATACCCCAGAATCCAAATGCAGAGTGAATCCAAAGTTCCTGATGCTGACTGTGGCTTGGATTCACTGTTTTAACACCATACATAATGCTAATTAGGAATTAAAGGCCACAGCCCATCATCCTTTCTTTTTGGTATAAATATTGATGGTAAAACCATAGAAATTACTAAGAATACAATTTAAAAAAAAATTATTTTTAATACTTTATCATTGTTACCATTTTTTAAAAAAATCTATAACTTGTGGTTTTGAAATACTTGTGCACTTTTTAAAGAAATTATTTCTCTGGGGTTGATGATTATATTTAAAATGCACATACTCTTTGGCTAACCAACACTGATTTTCCTTGTATGCTTAAATGGCCTGCTAACCAGTCAAAAATTACATGTGATAAAATACCTAAAAGTTTAATGTACTATTTGATAGATAAACATTCTGCTTTCCATCTTAAATTTAATTTTGAATAATTCTGCTTTGAGCATAACAAACTATTATCTATTAATACCTTGGCATAGAAGATGAAAGGCAAGGGTATAAAACCATTACATTTTATATAGTAATTTTTAGAAGTGTAGGATTTGGATCTAACTTGCTAATGGACTTTTAAAATATTGACAAATTAGCAATACAGTTTAATACAAGAGTTAAGATGAGAGATGTATATGTAGTTATCATTATGACCATTCTAAGGAACCAATTGTAAATACTGGAACTGGAACAGTCTTAACTTCGGAGATATTTTGTTTCTATTGATGAGCAAGAATTCAGTTGACCGTGTGAATAATGGCTTTACATTTCTCTATGATTCTTTACAGTTTATCAGTTTAACAGAGATTTGGACAGTGATTTTTAGTTCTTGTGAATTTCTCATTCCTTCCTAGGCATTGGTGTGCATTTGCCAGAGTGTGGCTGAAATTAAAAATATAATCTGTAATTGTAGAATATTTTGAAGCCAGCTGCTTCACGGATTTCAAAATGAATTGCCTTTATTGATGAAATCTGCTGTATTGTGCCTTTTTTTTTTTTTCTTTTCACAAAGTTCTTAGCATTTAATTACCTATTAAATGATTTAGGCATCAGGGAAAAAAAATGAAACTATACTTTTTATTTAAATATATTGTTCGAAACCTACCACTACTATTTTATCTTGTTTTTTTTCTTTTCTCTTTTTTTACTTTTGCTTAACTTTAATAATATCTTTCAAGCACTTCTTAGTTTTTGTACGAAGTTTAGCCTTAAAAAATTATTAAGTCCTTGTTAGCTCGAAAGTGATAACATTCAGGTTTTAAAAATAGAGGGACATGTTTTTAAAACCAAAAGTTAACAGGCTATGTGTGGGGGAGCTTACTTCAAGTGAAATCTCTTTGATGAGGAGGATACAAAACTGAGTGTTGAAGTGCAGTCATGCGTCATTTAACGATAGGGATATGTTCTGAGAAATGTATCATTAGGCTATTTCATCATTGTGCAAACATCCTAAGAGTGCACTTCCACGAACCTAGATGGTACAGCTTACTACACACCGAGTCTATATGGTATAACTTACTGCTCCTAAGCTACAAGCTGTACTGATACTATACATACTATAGGCAATTGTAACACAATGGGAAATGTTTGTTGATCTAAACATAGAAAAGGTACAATAAAAATATGGTGTAAAAGATTTTAAAAAAATGGCACACCTGTATAGGCCACTTATTGTGAATGGAGCTTGGAAGACTGGAAGTTGCTCTGGGTGAGTGAGGGAGTGATCAATGAATATGCAAAGGACTAGGACATTATTGTCTGGTATTGTGTGTGCTGTAACATTACGATGTCACTAGGTGATAGGGATTTTTAGCTCCATTATTATCTTATGGGACCATCGTTGTATATGCAGTCCATCATTGATTGAAATATCGTTACCTGGCGCATGACTGTAGTAGCTTTTTAATATAGCACATAACAAGATCATTTTTGAGAGAATTGTTTTTCCTGCCACTCTCTTATCCTTACCCCAGCTGTGCTACAATTCAACATTTCAGTGTAATGTTCAGTAAAGTTCAGTAATCTGAACTTTCAATAAAGTTTATGTGCATTTGTATATAAGCATTCTATAATGTTGAAAGAAACAACAGGTACATTACTTGTCAATGTTCTCTTGACTTTAAAAATTATCTTTCCTTATTGGGGAAATGTTTGGTAACCTTTTTACTATGTCTGCTTCTTGGCAAAGCTTTGTTTTTAACAATAATATTCTATGCTAAAAGTAGTCATTATTTTTAAGAAGAAAATTATTCAGTTGCTAGTGTTTTATTATCTATATTGTTTTTCATTAAACAGAGTTGATCAAGAGCTTAATGGAAAGCAAGATGAACCAAAAAGTGAACAGTAAGTTTGGCATCTAGTCCAAACAAGACTGAAGAATGTGCTGATGAAGCAATGTTCTTTATTGCATTTATAATGCATTTATTGGCCCTGATTTTTATGTAACCTGTTACAAAATTGACTTGACTTTTTCTCAGTGGACTTTTGAATAAGGGACCTGTTCACTGCTGTATTGGTTTGCAAATCTCTTGAAGTTAGCTCCTACTAGCTAATGATATTGTAATCAACTTATATTTTATATTGCTAAAAGCAGAGAACCACACTTTATATAAAGTGGTTTTTGCATTTGTTTATTGAATGATGTGTCTTCTTCAGTAAAATATTTATATGCCTAGTTGGTAAAGGAAAGAGATAATATATATTTTTATGTTTTGAGCAATATTTTTTAAAGTCTGCCTGTTTTGTGGAAGAATATGCAGATAAGTAAGACCATGATTTTGTAAAGTGCATGTTAGAATTTTTGTGTTTGTAAATGGTTAACTACATTTCCTGGGTAACTTAAACGAAATAGCTCATGAAGGACAGTTAAACTGGTTGTCATGATTACCCAAAGGTCATGTGTATGATCTAAGTAGATTAGTACCATCCAGAGCTTTTTTTATTACTTCACATACATTATTCCTTAATTCAGAAGCACAAATACAAGTGTATTCTACACTTTTTCCTTTTTAAACTTTAAAGACAACCAAAAAGCCAGTTTTAGAACTAGAGGACTTAAGAGGCTAAAAATTGAGGTTTGTGCATATATGTATATATGGGACATTTTATCTTCTGGCCAAAAGTCAGACCTTTATAAAAATCTTAGATTTGTTCACTAATGTGAAATAAGCTGTGTCCAGGGTGTCACTCTCCTGAATTTGTGTGAGTGCAGTGTACTATTCAGAGAACGTGATGAGTTATTCACGGTCACTACTTTTCTGTAGAAAGCAGGAGCTGCTTTTTTAACTGCTCTCACTGTGGGCACTTTACCAAAATACTTCCATATCAGTTATTTGAACTTAGTAGGTGTTTGACCTAGTCAGGTATGGTGTGTTTTCACATTTCCTATTGAATCATGTTGACAGTACTGTAGATGATGTTATTTTCTAAGTCTTAGAGCATCATTGTATTATACTGTTTTGGATGACACATTTGATATAGCATATAAACTTCTTGTTTAATTTGGTAAGTACCTTGACTCTACATTGAAATAAATTGTACTTATGCCTTCAAACAGAATTAAATTTACCCACAGAATCACCCTAAAAGAACAGATAGGTCTAGTATTGTGTCATATACTTGTGTGACTCATACATTTGGTAATACCCTCCTAATTTGAGAGTCAAAACACACTCCAGCTTTTCTTATAAGGTAATTTTCAAAAGAGTGTCCTGGAGTAGTAAAATTGAAGTAAATGAATTAAAATCTAAGCTTTTAAGATTTATTTTATCCTAGACTCAAAACACATGTGGCTTTAACCATTGCCATTTTTAGTATGAAGTTTCTATTACAAAAGAGAATTTTTCTTTATTTTTTGTCCTGTTCAGTCATAAACTTGGCATGCTAACTTAAGTCCAATTATGGGAGATGCTGGAGGATTCCCAGAATGAGATGTTGCTCAGCTGCCTAACTTGACTTGGATCCAGCAGCTATAGGCAGATCTTGAACTAATGTCATTATAGTGAACCAAGTCGAAACCTTTACTGTTTGCTAAATGTTAGAAACACTTTGCATTGCACTGAAAAAGCAAATTAATAATTTAGGTATTCCTTCTGACTTCACTACACGAGGATTATGAATAAAGGACAATACTGAATTTAATTGTGATTAGAGTCTGTATTTGTAGAGCACTTTAAGTAGCCTTTTATCTATAAATCTTCATCTGGCTCAAAATGGGCTGAGCTTTATTAAATGGATGGTTTTCCTCCTCATCAAGTACCCAGTTCAATTTCAACACTTTATTGTGTTTATTGACTTTTCCTTTGGGAGCATTGTTTCTAACTACAGATACAACTTGTTACAAACATGGTGCTTTTTTCCAAATGTTTTTTTTTAAGTAGAATTAGCCTATATTCTATTAGAACATTAAAATTCAGAGAGAACAGTGATAACACTGGAATATAACAAAAGGGATGTGTCGTGATCACTAGATTCAAAGGATACCTGCTCTGACCTACACCTTGATGGGATCTGGTATAGGGACATGCCCCATAATAAATGTTTCATAATTATAAGACTTAAGTAGGTTAGAAGGAAAGAATTTATTAAATTTGCTTGTAATTTTCCCCATTCATATTTAATTTTCCACTGCTAATTGAGGTCCAAGTACATGTATTTGTATTATTTTATCTTTCTGCTGGGATTATGGATCTAACCTAACTGGTTTAATTTGATGCATCTTTCACTTTCTTTGTTATGCTTGGACTCTGAGTGCTCTTTTTAGCCAACAGTTTCTCATATAAAATAATTTGTGTTCTGCTTGGTTATATTCCTAACTACCACCAAGGAAAGATGCTATATTGACCCCATAGTTTAAGCTTAATAGTCTTTAACTCAGGGGGGATGGGTAATAAAGAATATGATTCTAAGTAGGGCCCAGCAGGTAGTTGGAAAAGAAGATAACAAAACAAGGAAGTAAGAGAAAGAAAACTATAAAGGGGTAAAGAGTTAGCTGTTATCTAAGATGCCACTGAATGCGTCCCTGTTACGGGAAATTCTGTGTATAGCAGCTGTTGGTACCATTTCTTGTAGCAGGAAAGCCTGCAGGCTACACACACAGTATGTGAAGAGGAAAAGGCTGATAATGCTTATTATGATAATTGATATTTTCCTCTGTTCTGTCCCTTCATACAGAAGCAAGTTTGAACAGAGAGGGTCAGCAATCATAGCGCACAAATTAAAGTTTAAGACTAAGTTATTTTTCATATGTCATGGTTGGTAAATATTAATGTAGTCTTCCAAAATAGACATCACTATTTAATAACTGCACTAAATTCTGAAATTCGCTGGTTGACAAGTATATTTTGGTAGCTAGAATTTCTTCACCTGCAATTCCAGAATTTAAAAAAAGTAAGGGATCTGATTTTTTATAGAGACTTTGTAAATGACTGTATAGCGTTACTATTTGGCTATTTTTATGTAACTGCTCAGGGAATTTGAAAGTGTTTGATTTAATGCAGGAAGTGGCATTTTAGATTTGTTTAATTGATAGATAAGTTAGCACTAGGACATACTGGATAGAACAGGCCAGTTTCCTGATGAGGTTGGTAAGGTTGTAAATAACATGATAATAGCTCATCTTTCCTTTTCCTGTGTTGTATGTGGAAAATTGCTAACATTGCTCAATCAGAAGTGAGGAGGGGATAGGCTGAAAATAGAGTGCTACCCCATTCTATGTTGTTTTCATGCCTATATTTCCATCATATTTAGATTTTTGAGAAATGGATTACAAATCTCAGAAGGATGGGATAGGTAGAGGAATTAACTGTACTTACAAGTTAGACCAACTATTCTGTTAGTTTATCTTGTCACAGGGAACAGGAATTGTGTGATTTGAGCTGCTGGGAGAGGCAGAAATTTAGACTGGCATAGGAAAGTCAGCAGGTTAGGGAAGTGGCAGATTGTCTCCTCAGTATTCTAAGCACAGAAGAATTACCTGAGGAGTCTTTAACTCCCCTCTTCCTGTCCCAAGAGTCTGAATGAATTAGAGTCAGACCAAATGGTGAGTCCCAGTAATGTAACTTTCCTTTAAAGTTCTAAATGGTAATTGAAAATAAGGTAATGTGAACAGTAAGGAGTGACACTAAAATTTGAACAGAACTGTTACTTTGTTGTAGCTGTATATGTTAGATCTACTTAATTTCTTAGGTTTTGAGAACTTAAAAAATGCTAAGAAAAGTTCACATAAAGCACTTAACAGATCAAACACCAGATGAAAAATCAAGGTTTAATGTTTTCAAATTAAAGAATTAAGCTGTTTGCTTCAGATAGCTGTCTGATTCTGTCTTATAAGGCATTCTACAAGAAGTTAATACATTTGCATTTAAAATTTTCATTTCCATATTCAGTGTGGCTAAGGAGGAACTTGGAAAACAAATTAGGTACTCCACTGCACTTTTTGTATATGGACTTTCTAAAGTTATGCCCCTTAAACAGATTTTTTCCATACACCTAGCTATTGGTGGTGTTCAGGGCCACTGACTTGCACGCCCTTGGTGCATCACTCAAATAGAACACAATTCATAGTCTGTTCGATACTAACACACTTTGATACATATTTCAAAAATTCAAATATTTTTCTTACCATTGGTTCGTGTATTGCCATTTAAGCAAAATTAATGTACTGTGATCATTTTACTATTATTTAAATGATGTTGCCTCGCTTAGTGCTTTCATTTTACAGTGTTTGAGAAATTCAGTTCTGATGATTGTGTGTGCAAGATGTTTATGTGGGTCCTGTAAAAAATAACTAGGGTTGGTTTTGATTTGCTAAGGAGATGTAATATTTTATTTTCCTTTAACTTGTTAGAAATACAATAACTTGTGTCCTGTTGCACATAGTATTTTGCAACGTTAATGAATTTAAATAAATTAATTGGAAAGTTTGTTTTTGTCTCATTTTATCACGTTTTTTCCATCTTCTATTATGCTACTAAATTTCTACACTGAATTATCTTGTCTTTCAAATAGATTTAGAGCTTTACTTTCGATTCTCTTTCTATAATCTGGTGCTGCTTCCTATTGTCCAGGGGGTGAAAAGTCTAACCTACTTTTAATTTTAATGTTATCTTGTTAGTGTGTGTTTTAAATAAATTCCCAGATTTTATTAAAATTAAGATATTTTATAAATATTGAGAAGATCTCATTAAATTTAATTCCCAGTGGTATTATAATTTAGTAATGAAGGGTTTTTTATTATTATTTTTGTTGTTGTTAATCCTCGCCCAAGGATATTTTTTCATTGATTTTATAGAGAAAGTGGAAGGGAGGGAGGTAGAGGGAGACAGACAGGGGCAGAGACAGAGAAACGTCATGTGAGAGAGAGACATCAGTTGGCTGCCTCCTGCACGACATCTGGGGCTGGGAATCAAACCTGCAACCCAGATACCTGCCTTTTACTGGGATTGGAACTCACTACCCTTCCCGCTGATGCTCTAACTGCTGAGCCAAACTGGCCAGGGCTAAATTTAATTTTTCAATTACAGTTTCATTCAACATTATTTTGTATTAGTTTCAGGTGTGCAGCATAGTGGTTAAACAATCATTTGTTTTACAAAGTGATCCCCCCCTTAAACGTTAAGTATAATAAAACTTTGTGTTTCATAGTTTAGAATTATTTTAGTGGGGAATCCAAGGGTGAAATCAGTTCAATAAGTGGCTGAAAATGGCACAAAGGGCAACCTGTATGGCTTATAGACCTGCTCGGAGGTCCCATCTAGTAGCACTTGTTTTTGCATTTCCTCCTTAATCACTCTTCAGCCACCTAATGGCAAACAACTGTGCACACTGCTGTTGCTTTTAATCCATAGGATAGTATTTGGGATTATATAAACTCAAAATATATATTAAAGTATTTGTCTTGCATTAGAAACATATTAAATACAGTCTCCCCAATTAAATTTCTTCATGAATCATAAACTGTGAACTTCCTGAGCTAAATGAATTGCAGCCGTATTTTGAATGGTAAATAAATACTGGCTATAATCTGTAGAATTTGTCTTCAATTTAGCATTGATTTCAAGGCCTTAAACAATATTAACCTAGAACACATTTCAGGTATAGAAGATGACAGCCTTGCCTTTTCTAATTATGCATCTTAATGTGGAGATTATTCTTAAAAAGTATAATTCCCATATGAACGATTTAGTAAATCCGATGGACTTGAAAAAGTTACTTGTTCGTGGGACTAGGTAGGGCTTGAAAGCTGAAAGCTGCGGCCCCACGCCCCTCCTCTCTCCACAACCCCGGCCTCGACTCGCAAAACTTGAGTGTGTGCGGGAGCAGGTGATGGGCGGGGCTTTCCTGCCGTGACGCCACTTCCAGGTTCTGAAAGCAGTTCCGGGTCGTTGGCCAAGTTCTGTGGTTTCTGCGGCTGCCGAAGAAGTGGTGGGGGAAGAGGTGGTAGGTACCTACTGCTGGGCTGGCGGTGCTGCTTCTGTCTGCGCCGCGGCGGGAAGCGCCTTCCCCACAGGTACGGGGGAAGCCCTGCCCCCGCGGCTGGGGCTGGGGCTGCGGTCGGTGGGATCTTTTCCGAGGGCTGCACGGAGGGCGAGGCCTTTCCCTCCCGAGGCCCCGGGTCGACCCGTTACCGACTTCAGTGCCGGGAAGGCAAGGGAGACGGTTGCGTCCTCTGCGGGAGGCTTGTTCTCCGCCGGGCGTCCGCTGAACGGCCCTGGGGGGGGCCTGCGCCGAATTTTAGCCAGGTGAATGTCTGGAAGCATCCAGGGTTTGGGGTGGGGGTGCCGAAGGGGGGGCGCGTTCGTAAGTGTCTCATTCTCGTGCTGCTTCGCTTGCTTGAAGCCCGCCTTCCAACTTCATTCGAACTCCGATGAAGGAATTAACTGGATGGTTTGGTCCAGAAAGGCTAGGACTTTGCGTTACTTCCAAATGAGGGACCTTTTAATTGGATTTTCTAAACTGCAAAATGGAAGAGGACTACATGTATATGGCTGATAACACATCTGGGATATTTGAACATTGCGCAAGGAATTTTTAAGAACCTAGGAAGTAATTTTAACAAACATTTAAATAAAAGCTATTTTGTAACTAATTTTTGAAGTAAAATAGGTATAACATTGTATTAGTTTCAACATAGTGATTCAATATTGGTATATACTGTGAAATGATCACCACCACCGTAGTTAGTTTTCTTTTTTTGGTGGTAACTTCTGAGATCTACTCTCTTAGTAACTTTCAAATATGCAGTACAGTATTATTAACTACAGTCACCATGCTGTACGTCAGTGATTTTCAACTGGTGTGCCACAGTCAGATGCAGTATCTGACTAGTCAGGGGCACTGACCTCTTTTACATTAGATTGTCAAATTAAAAAAACAAACGCCCTGGCCGGTTGGCTCAGCGTTAGAGCGTGGGCCTGCGGTCCCGAGAGACCCGCGTTTAGTTCCCGCTAAGGGCATGTACTTTGGTTGCACTTTGTCCCCGGCCCTGGTTGGGTTGTGATGGTGGCAGCCACTCCATGTGTCCCTTTCACATCGATGTTTCTCTCTCCCTCTCTCTGCCTCCCACTCTATCTGAATAAAAAATGGAAAAATGCCCTCGGGTGAGGATTAAAAAAAAAAAACAGCCAACGCAGTAACTGTTAGTGTGAATGAATCAAAATTATACTTTTTTTTGTTTGTCAGACCAGCAGAAGATATATTTTTTGGTGTGCTGCAGAATTTTAGTAATTAGTTTGTGTGTGCTATGAGATTAACAAAAAGGTGGAAAATCGCTGCTATACATTAATCCCTAGGACTTACTTTATAAGTGGAAGTTTGTACCTTTTGATTCCACCCCCTCGACCCCCAGCCATCAGTCTGTTCTTTGTATCTGAGCTCAGTTTGTTGTTTTTTAGACTTTATATGTGAGATCATACAGTATTTGTTTCTCTGTTTGACTTATTTCACTTAGCATAATGCCCTCAAGGTCCATCCATGTTGTCTCAAATGGCAAGGTTGTATTCTTATTTTATGGCCGAATAGTAAGTATTCCACTGTGTATATTTCAGGGGCTCGAATACCATCATTTAGTTAAGAGAAAAAAAATTTTGATTCCCAGCCAGGGCCACTATCTGTATGAGGTTTGCATGTTCTTCCCATATCTACACAGGTTTCTCCAGGTGCTCTAGTTTGCTCCCACATCACAGAGATGTGTACATTAGGTAAATTGGCCCGTCTAAATTGTCTCAGTCTGAGTGGGTGTGTGTAAGTGCTCCCTACAATGTAAAGGTGTCCTGCCCCAGGGTTGGTTTCTACCTTGCATCCCAAGCTGCTGGGATAGGCTCTCGCCACCCATAACACTGAACTGGAATAAGCGGGTTAGGAAAAAAATATATATATATACACACACACACGTTTTGGGTTTTTTTTTTTTGCCGACTTGATAAAAAAAATTAGGTGTAATTTTGATTCATTTACTGAGCTGGATAGCTGTTGTTATGTTGACTGTTGTCTTTTTTTTTTTTTTTTTTACAATCTCAGGGAAAAGAGGTCAGTGCCCTGACTAAATAGTCAGGTATTGCATGTTTTAAAAGATCTTGCAGCACACCCATTGAAAATGGCTGTTCTAGACGCTGGTTTAGTATTACTTTAGTGAACAAAACAGACAAAAGTCTCTGCCCTGGGGAACTTAACATCCTAATGGAGGATGCAGAAAATAAACATAAAATTAGTAAATTATATATGTTAGAAGATGGTGGTGTCATAAAAAAAAAAAAAAAAGCAGCAGGAGTAGGGGGATTGGGAAGTTCCAGAGTGGAGGTGGGAGTTGGTTTTTAAATATGACAGTTTAGGCCTCATTAAGTATGTGCTACACTGGAAGGAATTAAGAGAACCAAGTGGATATCTGGAGGAACAGTGTTCCAGGTAGAAAGAACAGCCTTTACAAAGGCTTATATAGGCTGGAACATGCCTGTCATGATTTAAGAATAAGGAAGCCAGTGTGTCTGAGAAGGGTGGGAACAAGGGAGAAATGATAGATACGCTCAGAGAGGTAATTGGTAGCCAGAACATTGTAAGGACTCATGAAATGGAAGCCATTGGAGATTTTGAGCAGACAAGTGTTAAGTTCTAACCTATGTTTTAAAAAATCCATTTGGCTGCTGATTTGGGATTAGAGTGTAGGGGCCAGGCATGGAAGCAGGAAAATCAGTTAGGAGCTATTTCAGTAATCCAAATGACAGATGATAATGGCACAGACCAGGGTGTAACAGTGGAAATGGTGAACAATAGTTGGATCTGAATGCATTTTGAAATAGCGTTTACAGGATTTGCTAGGGATTGATTGTGGAGGTGAGCTTGGGGGGAAGAGAGGAGTAACTTCAAAGGTTTTTGCTTAAGCCTTCAGAAGTATGGAGTTCTATCACCTGAGATGGAAAAGACAACAAGTAGAGACATGGAGTAGGCAGTTGGATCCAGCAGTGAGTTCAGGGGAGAGGTCTGTGCTGATATATCATTAAGAATGAGCATAGACAGAAAGCAGCTGAGAACCAAGATGGTGTCTTGTGACATTAAGAGTTCAGGGAGAAGAGGATCAACCAACAAACAATATTGAGAAGAATGAGCCAGTGAGTTTAAGAAAACAGCCCAGCCAGTGTGGCTCAGTGGTTGAGCATCGACCCATGAACTAAGAGGTTGCTTGTTCAATTCCCACTTAGGGCATATGCTCAGGTTGTAGGCCAAATCCCCAGTGGGGAGCATGCAGGAGGCAGCCAGTCAATGTTCTCTCTCATCGATGTTTCTCTCTCTCTCTCTCTCTCCTTTCCTCTCTCTAAAATCAATAAAGAAAAAAAAATTTTTTTTTAGAAGAAGAAAAAATAACCCAAAAAACATGGTGTCCCAGAAGTTAAGCCAAGACCCATTACTCCCAAGAAGAGGGAGTAATTGCTATGTCAAATGCTTAAGTCTAGGGAAGACTGAGATGAGGATTAGTCTAGGAATGCCATTGATGTCCGTCATTGGAGTGCTGGAGACAAAAACCTATGAGGAGTGAGTATAAGAGCAAATGGGAGGAAAGGAGAGAGAGAGAGTGCATACAGACAGCCCTTACAAGTTGTGCTGCAAAGAGGAACAGAAATAAGAGTGGCTGGCAAGGGAAGTAGGCTGAGATTTTTTTATAAGGTTGGGTGAAGTACCATCCTGTTTATTGATGGAGGTGATCCATAGAGATGGGAAATTTGATGGTGAGGGGGAGAAGGAATAGATTGTATTATTGGAACAATATCCTCTTTTTTTTTTTCCCCTTTATTAATTTTAAAGAGAGAGGAAGGGAGAGGGAGAGAGAGATAGAAACATTGATGAGAGAGAACATCGATTGGCCACCTCCTGCATGCTCCCCACTGGGTATTGGGCCCAGAACCTGGACACATGCCCCAACTGGGAATCAAACCGGCGACTTCTTGGTGCATGGGTCGACGCTCAACCACTGAGCCACCCGGCTGGGCAGAACAATATCCTTGAGTGTACTAGAAAGGATAGGACCTGATGCAGGTGGGACTGTGTTTAGATAACAGTATGGATAGTTCAACTGTTAGTGAAAGGCAGGTAGGCAAAGTATATGGGTATAGATATTGGTAGGTGGTTAGATGTAGTTTTGAGAATCTGAAAGTTTGTATTGCTTCAGTTTTTTCAGTACAGTAGAAATCTTTGAATCGTACTTAAATACATGTATAATATTTGATATTAGCATTCTGACATAACCAGGTTATTTATTCTGACTAACAAACACAGGGGTTGGCAAAAGTAGGTTTACATACTACAAATAATACAACAATTAATAGATAATAATACAAGAATAAATGGCGTTTCACATAAAACTAAACCTACTTTGCCTACCATGTATATTGAATACTAGACATTGTTCTAGATGGTAAATATATAACTTCATGGAAAGCCTATTTTAGTAGATGGAAACAGAATAAGCATATATAATGCCAACCTCAATTAATGATATAAATAAGAATAAAGCATTATAAGGGGGCAGGGAAGTAGTTCTTTGGTTGGTCACAGAAGTCCTTTCTGATGAAGCGACATGTGAGCTACAGTCTGGATCAAATGAGGGAATGAACCATGCAGGTGCCTACGAAGACCATTCAAAGTAAAAAGAACAGCCAGTGCATAGGCTCTAAAGCAAGAGCATCTTGCTGTGTTGAAGAACAACAAAGGACCAGTCTGGAGCAGAGTGAATCGTGCGGAAACAGAAGAAAAGTTCTGAAAGGTAGTGGAGGGGGGCCCAGGTCATGTAGGCTTTGCAGTCCATTAGAAGGACTTTTTTACTCTGAGATAAGATACTGGCATTGGGGGTTTTGAATACATGAGTAATGTAGTTTGATTTAGGTTTTAAAAGGCTCAGTGTGGCTGCTCTGGGGCTGGGAGGTGGGATAGGCAGGGTTAGAAACAAGGAGACCTCTTACTGGGCTCTAACAGGCATAGGGACAGATGATGGGGACTTCCAGCTGCCTGGGGAGATGGTAAAAGTTGTCAGGTTCTGGCTGTATTTAGAGGAAGAGCTGAAAGGATTGGCTGACAGATTGGTTGCAGAGTGAGAGAGAAGTTAATGTTGATTTTAAGGCTTTGGAGCTGTCTCCTGGAAGACTATATTGACTGTGGACTGAGGTGGGCAAACGGAGGGCAGAAAGGTTTGGAGGGGTAGTATCAGAAATACGGTTTTGACTAATTTAATTTGAGCCATCTTCTTGGTAATTCCATCCAGCATCAAGTAGGCAGTTTTATTATATATGGCAACAAGGTGAAAAGTCAGGACTGGAAATAAAAATTCGAGAGTCATCAGCAGACAGTATTTAAAGCTTTAAGCGTAGATGAACTAACTAGGAGTAGAGCATGTAGAGAAGACATAAGAAGCCTTAAGGTAGTTAGAAGTTGTGTTGCTGAGGAGGAGCCAGCAAAAGAACACTAGAAATACGCAGTAGGTGGTATCCAGTAAAGTGGGAGGAGAGAGGTGACTGTGGGGTCCCCAAAAAACAAAGAAAAGGCTTCAAGAAGGTAGAAATGATCTAGTGTATCAAATGTCCACAAGGTGTGTAATGTGAAGATTGATAATGAGCATTTTTGCTGAGTTTTGCCTGGTGATTAGTCCTTGATTATGTCTCCTCCTGTCCATCTCTGAACTGAAAGGGCCATGAGGTCAGGGATCTTATACCTGACATGCAATAGAAGCTCAGTAAGTATTTGTTGAATCTGTACTACTGCCACCTTCTTAGTCCTCATCCCTGCACCTTTCCCAATGGAACAAATCTATCCATGCCATCTTTTCCTAACTTCTCTTACCACTGCCTGTTCATACCTATACCCTAAATACAGAACAATTTATAGTTCTCATTACAGACTATTATTTCATCCTTCTATGGCTTTAATCATTTCATTCTCTTAACCTGGGATGACTTTCCTCCTTTGCTTGGCTAAAGACCAGCTTGAAGAATCAGGAGAAGCTTTTGTGAGCCAACTCATTCAGTCCACAGTCAGCCTCCGTAGTGCACTATATATTTCTATCACAGTTCTCATTCTCTTTGGAATTTAATGTCTTTGTATGTCTGTTACCCTTCCTAGAGTATAATTTTTAGGGTCAGGAATGTATATTTATCTTCCTCTCCCTAGTACCTATCACAGCGCTGTATCTTCTTGGTAAGTGTTCTATAAATATCAAATTTTAAGACAACAGGAAAACGAAGGGGGTGGCATGCAAATGTGAGCTGAAGATTGTCTGAATTAGTGACTTGAAAGTAAGTAGAAAGGAATGGTACATGGCAAATTCTAGGCTAGGTCAAAAGGCAAACTTTTGAAAGAAATTATATTTCTTTTTATGATATAGACATTTTAATATCTATACTTTGTATAAAGGAATATAAATACCTGTCAAAGTCCTGCTGGTGTGGCTCAGTGGTTGAACGTCGACCCATGCACCAAGAGGTCGCCGGTTGGATTCCCAGTCAGGACACGTTCCCAGGTTGTGGGCCTAATCCCCAGTGGGGGGCATGCAGGAGGCAGCCAGTCAATGTTCTCTCTCATTGATGTTTCCATCTCTTTATCCCTCTCACTTCCTCTCTCTCTAAAATCAATAAAGGAAAGAAAAAAAAACAAACCTGTTAAAGTAACATAATTAGAGAAATTATTTTTAACTATTCCTTGTAATTCTAAAATTACTATATAGTAATTTGCAGTTACTAGGAGTTCTGATCTTATATATTAGAATGTATAGACTATTTACTTACATGATGTATAATGGGTTTTTGGGGGGGTTTTTTTGGTTAATCCTCACCCAAGGATATTTTTCCATTGATTTTTTTAGACAGAGCAGAAGGGACGGGGAGAGAGAGAGAGAAACATCTGTGTGAGAGAGACACATTGATTGGTTGCTTTCTGCACAACCCCGACCAGGGTGGAGGGATCAAACCACCTGCAACTCAGGTACATGCCCTTGACCAGGAATGAAACCTGTGATCTTTTGGTCCATGGGCCAACACTTTAATCGCTGAACAAAACCAGCCAGGGTGATAATGTGGGTTTTTTTGTTTGTTTTTTGTTTTTTTAGGACATCAATGCAAGACTGAATAAGAAAAACAATTGCTTCCTCCTAAGCCATGGCATATCAGTTATATAGAAATACCACTTTGGGAAACAGTCTTCAGGAAAGCCTCGATGAGCTCATACAGGTAAGAGGCTAAAAATCAGCATTTTTTGTTTTATTTAAAGGGCTCCAAAATAATAATTCTTATATCCCTTATTTCAGGCAAAGAGGTTACACATCTTAGACTATCTGGCTCAGTAAGTCAGTATTCAGATTTATAATCTCAAATTCCTGTGCATTTTATACCATCTGACTATGGAGCATAAAATGTAATGATGATTGAATGATGTAGTTGCATATATCTGAATTTTCAGATATTTTTGTTAAACTTAAAGATTAAAATGTTGGTTTTTCTTGTATGTATAAGAAAGGCATATTCTATGTAACTTTAAGATACATTTGAATAATTTAATAAAGTCTTGAGATTTAAATTAGAATTTTGAATTTATATTTCAGTTTTAAGAGAATTAATTTTTTATATGAACCTCTCATCAAAGAACATTAAGTATTACCATTTGTTTTTATATATTTAATGAGCTTCAATAAGATTGATTATATTTCTTAAAATATATATTATTAGTCCTATGTTTTTTATTTAAAAGAAACTTTGTTTCTTTCCAGATGCTACGAAGAATGCTGGTCAAAGTTTTGTCCAGCACTGCATGTTTTCTTTTCAAAATGATGTTGTGTTAAGATATTGCAAGAAAATATTGTTGGGCTAATTGTCAGTTGTGTCAAAGGAAAATATGGGGTGCTAGCTTAGAGGCTCCAGTTAGCTTTAGGGAAATTTTTTATGATGATGTGTGGTTTTGTTTATTTTGTCTTTAATGCTCTTCTGATTTATGACCTTTACTTTTCCTCAGTCTCAGCAGATCACTCCCCAACTTGCCCTTCAAGTTCTACTTCAATTTGATAAGGCTATAAATGCAGCACTGGCTCAGAGGGTCAGGAACAGAGTCAATTTCAGGGTAAGGATATTTTCCTGAATCTAGAAGCCTGCACCATTAGTTGTTACAAAAGTGTTTTTTAGGACCCCTCCTACTTACTAGTCATGAAAGGAAGAAATGGCTCAATTAAATTTTAGAGCGTTTTGTAATAACGAAGTTACACTTTTATTTAGTACCTTGATAGTAAGTTCACCCACTTAATGTGAGATATAGGGTTTATTTTAGTTTTTGTTTTTTTTTTATTCCATTGTTTCACATATCAGCCTATGTATGTTTGGCTACCTTCCCTGAAGAATTACTGAGATTTCAAATGCCTGAAATATTATCTGCAGGTTTGAAGGTAAGTGACAGAGTAATCAATCCATAAGGTTATGTTTTTCAAACTCCTGCTCCTAAAAAAAAAATCAGGAGAGTGTCAGTTACACAAGACAATAATTGTAGTCTTAATGGTGAATACAGTAATTCCCTGAGATAAGTCACAGGTTTAAAATGTTTCTATGTTTTTATACAACTGCAGAGAATTAATGTACACAATGTTTCTTTTTAAAGTGTTCACATAGATTCACATGGACTTTCATAATTTAGCCACATGAGGGCAGAAGAAACACATTTTCATTCAGCTTCCTTCAGATTTCAGGGCAGCAATTTACACACTTAAGAGTGCTGAAAACAGTCTGCTAACTAAAACCATTTCACTCTTCCCTTAGCAAATGTATCTAGGGATATATTTTTTTAATTGTTAGGACGAAAATTAAGGAATATCTTAAGCAAGGTAAATGTTAAAAAGAATCATACTATTTTCAGAATTATGTACTTGGTGGCTAAGTCTCAAATTGCTTTGGAGAAAAATGTGAGGAAAAATGACTTCATATTATGTCTAAATGTTTTGTTTTGAAGGGCTCTCTAAATACGTACAGATTCTGCGATAATGTGTGGACTTTTGTATTGAATGATGTTGAATTCAGAGAGGTGACAGAACTTATTAAAGTGGATAAAGTGAAAATTGTAGCCTGTGATGGTAAAAGTAAGTGTTCACCTAATTACTGGGAAAGCAAAGCTACTTGCAGTTTTGTTTTTATGAGTCTTTAGAAAATCTTCATCTGAAATTAAGGTGGAAAATGGTCAACGATCTGCTCCCAGATAGAGACCTGGCTTCTGTCTCAGCTAGATTGTGAATTCCAGATCTCAAACAGGCCTCCTACTGGCTTCAGTATAACTATTTCCTATGACACTTAGACTACTTCCAGATTGAATTTATGTGTGTGGCTGGGGGATTTCAGCTGCAGATTTAAAGTGTTATGGGGCTTTTTCACAACCACCTGAAAGGAAGTGATTAATTTTGACAATTTATCCTGTGTTTTCTGTGTTGCTGGATACCTATACATTTTATGTTTTAAAGGTGGTTATTTAAGATTTTAATTGACCATAAGAATCTTATCGGTCATAATATAAATATCCATTCTTGTAATCCATTATGTCTATACAGGTGTATTTTCCACAGCAGACCAAGGAAGTTGTTCAGGTCCTTAAATGTTTCAAAAAGTAGACACCTCTGCTTTCTGTTCCATGATTAGTTATTTCCTTTTTGCTAATTGTACTTTAAATATATACTTGACTTGACTTTATGATTCAAATTATTTGTTTAAATTTCTGAAATTAAATAGCGAAGACTGTCACTGTCCAAGAAGGGGAGGTTTGAAAAGCAAGAGAAAGAGAACTATAGAAAGTAATACCCTACATTTCTCAGGTTATGGGTTGGGATTTTTGTCCTATTCACTTTGGGTTTTAAAAGAAATAATCACTGAAAAAATGTAGAGACAACAAAAGCATACAGAAGAAAAACATTCGTGACATCACTTTTAATGTTTTATTATATAACCTAGTTTTGTATTTTTACAGTAATATGTATGCACATACATCTGCAAATATATCATTTTCAAACATAAGTTGTTAACTCTTAAACCTGGTTTTTAATGGCTGCATGGAATTATACCTTTGGCCCTCTTTTTTTTTTTTTTTTTTAATTCCTCACCCGAGGATACTTTTCTATTTATCATCAGATAGAGTGGGAGTGAGGGAGGGGAGACAGAGAGACAGAGAAATATCGATGTGATAGAGCCACATCAACTGGTTGCCTCCCACACGACCCAACCAGGGCCGGGGATGAACCGCAACTGAGGTTCTGTGAACCCAGTGTAGTACAACTTAGAGAGCTAAGCATTGTGTTTTTACCTCTGCCTTAAAAGGAAAATTATTTAAGTCCTCAAGGTATTTCCATGGTTAGCGTCCCTCTTCTTCCCCACCCCTCAAATCATCACCACCATTATTTCCAGTTTTATTTTAAGATGCTATTTTAAACATTAAATTGCTCCTTAAATTTACTCTTTCTCTCCTCTGTTTCCTAGATACTGGCTCCAATACTACAGAATGAATAGAAAAATGGCTTTTTTATGCCATCCTCTGTTGTTATTCATCACTTTTTAAAGAGAAGCATAGAAGAGACTTTATTTATTCTAGCATTGCAGAAACGGCCACACTGTGCTATACTATCAGAGAATCCAGTAGAAAGAAGCTTGTAACTACATTACCTTTATTCTGCAGCATGAAGAAACAGAACTTTTTTTTAAAGACAAATCAAATGTTGCCTTCCTATTAACATTCTTTAATAAACTCATTTTAAAACTCAATGCGGGTAGTAACTGGTAAAGCTATTAAGCTAGCAATATGAGGATATTAGATAAGCATTTTGAAAGAGCACCATGTTCCTTGTAAAGGAAATTAGAAAATGCATTCATTTCAATAAAGTCAGTTTGTATATTAATTATAACAGCTGATAGAAACATCAGCAGAAGCAAAATCAAATTCTGGAGTGGAATTTTACTTAGAAAATCCTTTTTTTAAACTTACAAAATCAAGTGTAACCATCACTGTAAAAAAAATACTAGGTACAACTGAATTAGGAGAAGTTAGACATTCTTTAGATAGCTTCCATAGCCAAAACAAAACCGAAAACCTATTCCCGAGCACAAAATAGTCTCCACATGACGTCAGTTATTTCTTCAACTCGCCATATTGGTCAAGTTGTACACTTTTTTAAATTATCTGCATTCTGCCAGTTACGGACTTTTACTAAAAAGTCCTACTAAATGTATGTCATATCTTTGTGTACCTGAAGGGGAAAAGTTTCCCTTATTTGTCAATCTAGAAACATATAATGAAGAATGTGGCATTTCTGAAATATCAGGGAAGGAGAATGTCAGGCACACGGTAGCTGAGGAACGGGTTGAGCAGCTGCCTGCAGGTGAATCGAGCTCAACTAGTCTTAATAAGGCCCGGCCCTCTGTCGTTTAGATAAATGATGAAGGTCTTGACAGCCCCAGCGAGTGGTCAGCTGCAATTGCACCCTACTTCAGTGTGCTGAAGCGACCAGAGGGAGAAGATTCACTTTTCTCCTGCTGAGAACAGAGTTGGCTGTAAACTTCAGCAAAATGTCTTTTTGTAAACCTGTTAAAATGTTAAATAGGTCTTTATATTAGACATAGTCCATTTTCAGTTGTAGAAGCATGTTAGGTAGTAGGTGTTATTTTTTATATTTTTATTTTATTGTTAATCCTCACCCAAAGATATTTTTCCATTAATTTTTTAGAGTGAAAAGGAGTAATGGGAAGGGAGACAAATCAATTGGTCGCCTTCTGCACCACCCTGATTGGGGCAAAGGATCAAACCTGCAACCCAGGTACATGCCCTTGACCAGGAATCGAACTTGCAACCCTTAGGTGTGTGGGCCAAGAATCTAACTGCTGAGCCAAACCTGGCCAGGGTTATTTATTTTTTCATAATTGATTCCAGAGAGAGAGAAACATTCATGTGACAGAAAAACATCTATTGGCTGCCTCCAGCATGCCCCCTACTGGGGATTGGCCCACAACCTGGGCATGTGCCCTGACCAGGAATCGAACTGGCGACCTCTTGGTGCATGGGTCAACGCTCAACCACTGAACCATACCAGACAGGTGAAATTTCTACTTCTTAAGGAGTAAGTTATGTTTTAAACTTTTTTTCCCTGTTACTAATAGTCACTGGGATCTTACAGAAGTGTAGGGCTGGAGTTGTGTATACCTCTTTGGGGATTTAAAATCCCATGAATTATGTTGATAGATCGTGTTTACAATCTATTGACAGTCTCAACTGGGGAAGCAACATATTGACCCTGAGTGAGGATTTTCTTGTAAGATAGGGTGGCCTGGCTTGGCCTACTGACAGGAATAATGACAAGCCATTCTCTGGGTGCACAGTCGCTATTACCTCAGCATGTCTGTGTCATTGACACAGTAACGCTTGCATCCTTGCAGCTCATTCTGTGTAATCTACTCTAGTATTCTTCCTTACTAACCATCACACAGCTCTAGTCAAGTTTGAAAAAGAAAAAGATCAGATCTGAGTTTTTCTTTTGGCTTTGGTTATGCTGTTTCTTACATTTTTCATGCCTTTCCTTTAAGAATCGGAGCCCTACCCATGCTTCAGAACATAAACCCAGTTGCATCCCTGAGTGTCACCCACACTGATCCCTTTCCTGTTGACCTCATACAAGGAAATTGTTTATATACATGGAAAACACACAGTAAAGGACAGGAAGAACTTGGGTCGGTTACAGTACTCACCCATCTAGATAACTGGTATGTAACACCTAGGGTTTATACTGCATTCCATCAGATGAAACCACTCCGAGACCCAGTTAACCTCCATACTTACCCCTGCTTTTGGCTGGACAGGAGTGCAGTCATATCCTGACATTTCCTCCCAGCAGTTCTAATGGCCTGTATACACCTCACACTGGTGACACTTGGCTGACGCGCATGTGTAGAACTAGCCTTCCCACAGTGGTGCTCAAGTGGTACTCAGATTTTACTGGAAGTACAGGAAAGAGTCCCGGCAAGAGCGCACACCACTGGGCTCTCCCACCTGGCCGCAGGCTCCGGTGATAAAAATCTTACTTGCCTGTTAATGTGGAAGAAGGGAAAATCCATTAATTTGTCTACTGTCAGGACTGAGGGAAAACTGGGCTGTCCTCTCCACATGCATTACTAAATGCTATTTTAATACCCGAATAGTGGACAAAGAATAGCTTCTTTGACAGCAGTTCTCAACCTGTGATTGCGACCCCTTTGGGTGTCAAACGACCCTTTCACAGGGGTCACCTAAGACCATTGGAAAACATTTCTGATGGCGATTCATAACTAACAAAATTACAGTTATCAAATAGCAACAAATAATTTTATGGTTGGGGGTCACTACAACGTGAGGAACTGTATTAAAGGGTCGCGGCAGTAGGAAGGTTGAGAACCACTGCTCTTTGGGTTTAATACCAGATTGGTCATTGTTAGGCTTGTTTATTGTGAGCTATCTTCACCTAATTTTATTTCTTGGTAGAAATTAATCACAGTGTCATAGAGTGTATTGCCATCATTTTGAGTGGGTCAGAATTAAATTGCTAGTGATAGTAAAATTTTGAAATTTTAAAATGTGTGTATATACTTAAATATATATATTTCAACTAGGGAAGCAATTTGTAGCACAGTTATGAAATTTGGACTCAATAAAACGGTGCAGGGTAAGGGCAAATGCAGAAGATTTTGCAGCCTTTGCTTTCTCAATCCATTCTAAAAATGTTGTCTAATTTGGTGAGAGTTCATCCAGCTATTTTTTAAAAAAGATTTTTACATTGATTTCTAGAGAGAGAGAGAAATCTATTGGCCGCCTCCCACATGCCCCCTACCTGGGATGGAGCCCACAACCTGGGCATGTTCCCTGACCGGAAGTCGAACCAGCAACTTTTCAGTGCACTAGCCAACACCCAACGAACTGAGCTGCACTGGCCAGGGCCAGCTATTTTTTATATGCTCTAATAATAGAATCTATTTAATTTTCCTAGTGCATAGGTAAGTAGAATTTGCATGGGGTGTGGAGCAAGACATCTCACCTTGTAAGAGGTACAGGAACTAGAAAACATGCAGCAAAAGATTTAGTGGAATTAGTTTTAAAAAACATTGTGCAGAAACACCATCAGCAATATTCTCTTTTTAACTTTATTGTTGAATGTATTACAGATGTCCCCTCTTTTTTCCCCATTGACCCCGTTCTCAATCCCACCCCCCTCCTGCCTTCCCCACACTATTGTCAGTGTCCATTGGTTATGCACATATGCATAGAAGTTCTTTGGTTTGTCTCCTCCCACTCTCCCTCCCCCCTTCCCTTTGAGGTTCATCAGTCAAATAACCAGTTTGTACTTCTTAATTCCTTCATCTTTTTCACCCATCCTCCCAGCCCCCTCCCATCTGGCAAGCAACAAAAAGTTCTCTGTATTTATGAGTCTGTTTCTGTTCTGCTTGCTCATTTTGTTTGTAGATTCAATTGTTGATAGATATGTATTAATCACCATTTTATTGTTCATATTTTTGTTCTTCTTTAAGAAGACCCTTCAACATTTCATATTATACTGGTTTGATGGTGATGAAATCCTTTAGCTTTTTCTTGTCTGGAAAACACTTCATATGTTCATCTACTCTAAATGATAGCTTTGCAGGATAGAGTAGTCTTGGTTGTAGGTCGTTGCTTTTCATCGCCTTCAATATCTCTTGCGACTCCTTTCTGGCCTGCATGGGTTTTGTTTTGTTTTTTGAGAAATCAGCTGACAGTCTTATGGGAGCTGCGTTGTAGGTAACAAACTGCTTTTCTCTTGCTGCTTTTAAGATTCCCTCTTTGCATTTTGATGATGATGTGTCTTGGTGTGGACCTCTTCAGGTTCATCTTGTTTGGGACTCTCTGTGCTTCCTGGACTTGTATGTCTGTTTCATTCACCAAGTTAGGGAAGTTTTCTGTCATTATTTTTTCAAATAGGTTTTCAATTTCTTGCTCTCTCCTCCTTCTGGCACCCCTAGGATGCGAATGTTGGCACGCTCGAAGTTGGCCCAGAGGCTCCTTACACTAGCCTCAGTTTTTTGGATTATTTTTTCATTTTGCTGATCCCATTGGATGTTTTTTGCTTCCTTATATTCCAAATCAATGGTCTGTTTCTTGGCTTTACCTATTCTACTATTGATTCCCTGTAAATTATTCTTTATTTCAGTTAGTGCATACTCCATCTCTGACTGGTCCTTTTTTATGTTGTTGATGTTCTCACTAAGTTCCTTGGAAGTCTCCATAAGTTCCTTGAAGGTCTCACTAAGTCCCTTGAGCAACCTTATAACCAGTGTTTTGAACTCTGCATCTGATTGATTGCTTGTCTCCATTTTGTTTAATTCTTTTCCTGGAGTTTTGTTCTTTTTTTCCATTTGGGACATGTTTCTTTGTCCCCTCATTTTGGCTGCTTCCCTGTGATTGTTTCTATGTATTAGGTAGAGTTGCTATGTCTCCTAGGCTTCATAGGGTGGCCTATTATAGTAGGTGTCCTGTAGGGTCCCCTGGCATAGCCTTCCTGATCACCCCAGCAGGGCCCTCGAAGTGCACCCATAGTGTGGACTGTACACCCTTCTGTTGTAATTGAATCTTGATTGCTATTGGCACATCAATGGGAGGGACCCACATAGGCAGATTAGCTGCAAGGACTGACTGTGTCCACTGACCACCGGTCCCCGACTACCCCGGAGGATCAGCTGTGCCAGGGCCCACACAGAGCAAGACCTACTTCATCTGGGCTCTGGTCCCCACTGAGTCCACTCATTGAGCATGTCATTTGTGGAGGTGGTGGGTGGTGGTGCCTCGAATTGGTCTGAAGCTTGCTCTCTCTGGGGCAAGGTCAGCCACTGCCTGTGTTCTACCCGGGCCCACCAGGCATAAGCTACAAAGTGATCTGTAGACAGTTGCTTCTTGTGTTGGGCTTGGAGGTGCCCAGGAAAAGCCCAGTCGTGAACCACGCTGGCTGCTTCTAGTGCCGGGCCTGGGGCCACTTAGTGAGAGGTATGGGGCTCGCTGAGACCAGATGCTGCTTGTTTGAGAGATTTTAGGAAAATCTGAAGCAGGAGGCAAAAGAGGCCAATTCTATGGTAAAGCCACTGGAAACAGCTTGTGTGGGCTCAAAAATTGGGTGGGGCAGGGCCTCAGGGAATCACCAGGGCTGGGCTAACAATGTGAGCCAGGCTGCTGGAGTCCCAGATATGGTGCCCGTCTGCTTATCTTGTGGGGGAAGGGCTCACCAAAGGAAGAAGGCCTTCACCAGCACGTCTGTCAGAGAGAAAGCTCTCTCCAGCCCTTGTCCCGAGGCCAAACAACTCAGTTCTTCCTCGAAGCTCCCTGGTGCCTTTC